CAATTTTCAAACTTGACCCTCAAAAATTCTTAATTTTGTATAAAGTCTTGGAAATATCAAAAATCAGAAAGAGCAATACAGCAGACACCTCTGTGGGCATGCCCAGTTTATGAGATCAAACCATCCTTGCCACTGAAGTCTTTAGCATCTCTGCCCCAAATCTATGTTTCTGCCTGGCATCCCAGCTTGAACTCAGTAGTTATTGTTCCTACATCTTTATTGTATATTTCTCTTCAAGCAATACATTTTTCTGCCTGCTTCTCATCTTTATAGAAATAGTGGAGCCGTGTGTGGTGGAGCATGTCTATAATTCTAGCCCTGTGGGAGGCAGAAGCAGGAGGATCATAAATTTGTGTCCAGCCTGGACAACTTAGCAGCTTAATGAGACCTTGTCTAAAAATAAAAGAAAATAAGCTGGGGAGATAGCTTGGTAGTCTAAGCACCTGCCTGGCAAGAGCAAGAACCCAGGTTTGATCCCCTGTGGCACACTGGGCCAGCTCCAAAACCAGGCATGGTGGCACACACCTGTAATCCCAGCACTGGGGAGGCTGAGATAGAAGGATCACTATGAGTCCAAGCCGCATAGCTAGACCCTGTACCAAATAAATAAATAAATAAATAAATAAATAAATAAATAAATAAATTTATATGATCATGGTATCTACCTTGCCAGGTAAGAATAATTTTTTTTAAATAGTAAAATAGGGGCCAGGGAGATGGCTCAGTAGAATAAGTGCTTCCCTGGCAAGTGCAAGGGCCTGAGTTCAATCCCCAGTTCAAAAAAAAAAAAAAAAAAAAAACCAAAAGGATGGCCTGGGTTCAATCCTCAGTACTGGAAAACAAAATTACAAAAATAAAATAGCATCCTATGAAATATATTTTCAAGTCCTTTTTCCTCCTAATTTTTTATTTTCATCTATATGTGGTAGTGGTGCTTGAGCTCAGGACCTCTGCAGAGCTACATCCCCACCTCTCCCAACCATTTTTCTCTTTTTAAATTTTGAGACAGATGGGGCTGGGGAGATAGCTCGGCAGTCTAAGCATCTACTTAGCAAGTGCAAGGACCAAGTTTGATCCCCAGTACTGCGGGCCATGACGGAGACCCTGCATTAATTTTTTTTTTTTTTTTTTCTGAGTCAGGGTCTTGCTAAGTTCCCCACTTTGGCCCTGACCTTGCAATCTTCCTGCTTCAGCCTGGAAAGTAGCTGGGGTTGTGGGCATGCACCACTGCATCAGACTCTGGGATTCCTTACTTCACTGTGTTGGACAGATTCATTCGCATTCGTAGGTGTGGCTGCAGTGTGCTCCCTTCCGTTGCTGGGTGGGACCAAGTTCTCCACTGTACAGAGACAGCAGATTCTTTGCATTTCTCCTGTTTTGTATCTTTGGCTTTTTTTTTTTTTTTTTTTTTTTTTTTTTTTTTTTTTTTTTTTTTTTTTTTTTTTTTGCCATTATTGGTACTGCTCCACGAATCAGCATCAAAACCAGCAATGGGCTGGGCACCACTGAGGCAGGAGGATCTTGACTTGGAGGCTAGCCTGGGCCACACAGTAAGACTCTGTCTTAACTGTTCCAAAAGCCAAGCAAAAGCCAACGCTGTAGCGTCTTCGAATCTCTCCCTGCTCCAATTGTCCCATGACCTTCTCTGACTCTGACCCTTCTTCTAAGAGCAATTGTGATCAGGTCTGACCTGCCTGGGTTATCCAGGATCCTCTCTTTCCACTTCAAGACCCTTGATGGCATCTGCAAAGTCCCTTCTGCACAGTGACATAGTCCCAGGTCCAGAGTTCAGATGTGCTTCTTTTGCTGGGGGTGCTGTTCTGTGTAATAGGGAAGGGAAAATGGAGGTGGGGTGTGGTGAGGGGAGTTTTTGTGGTTTTTTTTGTTTTTTGTTTTTTTTTTTTTGGAACTGGGGATTGAACTCAGGCCCTTGTGCTTGCCAGGGAAGTGCTTATTCCACTCTCCTCAGCCCAGGGAAGCATTTTTTAATCACTCCATTGTCAAACTGTTTTCCAAAGTAAATGGATTCTCTCTCCCACCAAGAGTGCATAGGTGTTGCCTGCTTCACCCCATCTTCACCAACACTTGGTGTTATCTGACTTTTTAATGTTTCCAACTTGATGACTGTGAAATGCCTGGGCTCTGGAGGTTATGTGGCTAAAGGAGAGGGTGATCAGTGGTGTGGAATGTGAAAAGGAAGGTCCCTGGCAGTCAGGAAATCACTGATGAAGCCAGGCCTGGTGGCATACATCTGTAATCCCAGCACTCTGGGAGACTGAGGCAGGAAGTTTTAACCAAATTTTAACTCAATCTGGGCAATTTAGGGAGACTCTGTCTCAAATTTTAACAAAAAAAAAAAAGACTGGAGATGTAGCTTAGTGAAAAGACCCCCCCCCCAGGTTCAAGCCCAGGTACAGGAAAAGAGAAAGAGAGAGAGAGAGAAAGAGGGGAAGGAGAGAGAGAGAGAGAGAGAGAGAGAGAGAGAGAGAGAGAGAGAGAGAGA